ATTTAAACCTATAATACATGATGAGCATTCAGCATCTGGCTGATCCAGGTTGCTTCTGGCTGTACCCCAGATAATCTTGCATTAACTTAGTCCTGGCACAGTTGCTGATCTCACTGCTTCATAGCTCTCTCAAACCTGATAAATTTTCAGGTTTGCTTCTGGTGTTTAACCTTCTGCACTTCTGTCAGGGAAACTATAAATTCTGTAGCACAAATAGCAATAAATGTTACTGCCTGCAGTTCATGTAAGACAAAGTTCTGTGAGCAGAATAGCTTGGGGCAAGTTCTTAATCTACTTATACAGTGGTTTACAGAGACAAGCACATTTACCTCTGGCTCTTCTTGCTGCTTCACAAATGAGAAATATGTGTGTTGAAAGGAATATATTTTAAATCCCATTGAATATACCCACACGTATTTAATGGGATTGGAAAGAAACCTGTAGTACCTTGTGGCAAACAGTGTCTCAAAATCCTGCTTTCTGCACGTGTTTTCAGTGTAAACCAAAGTTCATTCAAGGAGATTTTCTGACTTTCAGGAGCTGCAGGACAGGAATTAAAAGGAAAAAACACACAGACACAGTGTTACAGGTACAGAGGATTGGCAGATTTACAGAATCCAGCTTACCATGGCAATGGCTGGTTTTATTCAGAGCACAGGAGAGTTGAGTCATGTTTCATCAGCATGGAGGGTAATTAATGTTTTGTCTAAGCGTTCATGTCTTGATTATCAAACTGCTGAAAACCACCTGGGGAAGTAGTGGTTGATATTCCAGCAACGAAAAAGCAGTCCTGTTTCATATACATCTCCAAAATGAAAGTATGAGGAATGAAATAAAATGTTGCTTTTAGAAATATGGTCTCACGTTATGCTATATTTACATTTCTTTTGGAGGACTTTAGTCATGTAAAAACTTCTTTGTGCTTATAGTAGTAAATATTTCTTCAAACTATAATATGTGCAGTTCCTTTTCACTATATTCTTGATATGTATGAGCTGTTGATGCAGTAGTGAGTTGCTACTTTGGGTCACTTAAAGAATCCTCATCAAAAGTATTGGCAAATCAGGGTTTAATACAACTTTGTGAAAGTCACAGAATCATAGAATGGGTTGGGTTGGGAGAGAGGTCACCTTGTTCCACCCCCTGTCCGTGGGCAGGGACAGCTTCCATTGGACCAGGTGGCTCAGAGATCCATCCAGCCTGGCCTTGAGAACTTCCAGGGATGGGACAGCCACACCTTCCTTCCCTGAGCAGCCTGGCCCAGGACCTCAGCACCCTCACAGAGATGAATTTCTTCCTCATATCTAATCCAAACCTGCCTTCTGGCATTTTGAAGCCATTCCCCCTTATCCTCATGTTCCAGGCCCTTGTCCAAAGTCCCTGTCCAGCTCTCCTTAGGCACTGGAGGGTGCTCTGAGTTCTGCCTGGAGCCTTTTCCAGGCTGATCAGCCCAGCTCTCCCAGCCTGTCTCCACAGCAGGGGTGCTCCAGCCCTCTGGGCATCTTTGTGGCCCCCTCTGGACTTGCTTGAACACATTCACATCCTTCCTGCACTGGGAGCCCCTGAGCTGGACATTCCAGAGCATTCCAGCTCTGTCCCCAGAGTGGAGTAGACAGGGAGAATCCTCCTGGCCATGCTGCTCGTGGAGCAGTCCAGGACACAGTTGGCTTTCTGGGCTGCAGGCACATTGACAGGTACTGCTGTGCTTCTCATCCACCAACACCCCCAAGCACTCCTCCTCAGAGCTGCTCTCACTGCTTTTTTTGGTAGAAAGCTGTCCATGGACAGAAAATCTAAATTGTTGATGTCTTCTGTTGCAAGTCACAAACTGCAGTTCTAGCAATTCAAGAACAAATTGTGAAAGACACAGTAAGGGCAAGAAGGTGCTTTGAGCCAGCTATCTCAAGGATTAAAGTTTTTGAGTTTTCAGGTAATACAGTTTTAACAGTGCCTTTGGGAAAGAAGATGAAAGAAAGTCTAGAGCTTATGGTAAAAACAAAAGAGAATAAATTACTTGAGGCCAGTTGTGAAGAAAAGAGAAATATTAAGAGGCAAAAATGAAAGTGATGAAAAATAATGGAGGGTGGAGAATATATCAGCTTCTGTAAATCTCTTTGATGTTTTTGGTGGTATCCATAAAATTAAGATGATCTACTTTGGATCATTATGAAGGCAGGTATATGGTTGTATCTACATTTAAGAAATGTGAAGGACAAAGTATTCACAAATAATCTGAGAATACTAATAATTTTCTAAAAGGTCAAGTTGTACTCAAGAGGAAACTATGAACATCTTCCTTTATAGTGGAAAGATAACAAAACCTGTTAGTGCTTAAGTTTTTGCATTTTTTTTTTTCTTTCAGTACAGAAGGGCACTTTTTCTGTGCTCTCCCTTGCAAGGCAGGGGGGTACTGATATTTTCATTCTGTGCAGATGTGTGTGGCGTGGTCTGTTGGGACTACAAAGATGCAAATTCGCTCTTGATATGCTCTGCATGTTTATACTTAAAGTATAATATATGTACTTTATATATAATCCCAGAAATGGAGTAAAAAGGGGAGCTTTGTGCAGGTCCATGTGCAAGATGACATCTCACATAGTGAGTTGTTATATAATTTTAAATCATTGCATCCTAAGTATTTAGTTTTGTAGAATTCGTTTAGGACCATAGTAACATTTACATAGAAGTCCTATTAACGTTTCTTCCAGAGAGCTCTTTGTACAGAATATAAGCTTTGACTTCTCCAATTAGTTCTGCTACCACCACATCATAATAAATCCATTGGCTTTGCTCTTTGTTCATGTTCATTAGTTCTTGGTGACTTTTGGAGCTTAGTGGCATTAATGCTTCTTGCTGATTTTTAGGAATATTTTAGCTTGTTTATATGTTGTAACCAGAAAGGTGAAGAACATAATATTGTTGTTTTAAGTCTAGCATTAAGATGTCCTAGCCCTTCAATATCTGACAATTCTGTATTTACTTCAGTGTAAGTTTTTGCCCTTGATCATTGGATTGACTGCATCTTATATTCTTTCCTTATAGTTTCATACCATTCCTTCAAGTATGTCACACTGAGCTCTCAGAGCAAATATTTGGTAACTCTCTTTCAGAGGAAAATTTTAATGTGGAAATCAGGCATACTTGACTTCAAAAATAATGTATATCTAACTTCATTTACAATGTTTCATAGTGTAATGTTGGGTCTCCATCATAATCCACAATGGCCACTCTTTCAAAGGGTTGCAGATGTGTTTATTTCTACTGCTGCACCTGTGCCAGTGTTAGAAAAGACTGATTTGTGATTAAAAAATTAGGCACGCTGAACATGTTTGTTAATGTCTGTAAATGTGGCAGTTGATACTTTTGTGCCTCCTTTTCTCTCTTGTGGCTTCCAGCATGGTGGTAAACTTTACCTGTGAAGTTGTGATAACAGAGTACCAGGTGTGTTCTACTCCATCAGTAGAAAGATTTTTTTGGTATTTAGCTGAGAAGCATTACGGAAGGAGATTGGAAATTCTTCAATTCCTTTTATTAGGATCTTTGAGCTCAACAAGAGGTAAGGTAGTTTCAAGACTTGCAAAGGACATGAATTTCCCCCTTTAGCTCCATGTCCAGGTTAGGTAGTTCCTTGCCTGGGACATAAAGAAGCGAGGCATAAAATACCAAAACTGGGAAGACAAGTGTAACAGAGAATTTCAGTGATACCATGTGGTGGGTGCCACTTTCAAATGCAACTCCTAAATAGAATGTGACCCACAGAGATGAACAGGAATTCTAAGAGCCTGTTTCATTATTTTGACAGTGCTGGGTCCTTCCCTCTTGTCTTTGCCAGTGACAAGAGGAAGAGGTTACCTTGGAAACACCAATCGAGGTTTCTTCATTAATGAGTGCTGATATGGAGAAAGTACTGCAAAGATAGATAAACCTCGTGTAGGTTACAGCCCTTGTTGTCAGCTGTGATGCTTGGAAGAATCTGAAGCTGGCAACTAAAAATGTAACACAGCTTCTGCCCTTTGGTTAATACTGTGGAGGTTACAGGGGGTTTTGTCCAAAAGCACTAGAAAAAAAGATACAGCCATTTTGGATTTCAGCTTGTCAGAAATATTTCTAGCACATGCACTGACAAAAGAGAACGTCTTGTGAGAACAGTGAGGGCTGTAGACTGTGAGCATGCTTATGGAAAAGAGATGCAACAGAATCTCTGACTATTTTCATATAATACACTCACTCCTGTTGAGTTATAGCAATGTCAACACTGAATATTTAAGGTGGTCACGCACCAGGCACACGTTTGTTCCTGCCTCTTGATGCTTATGCCATTCCCTATATGTTGAGATTTCTCTGCCCTGATTGGACCAGGTTTTTTTACATTTAAAGCAATAAAATGATAATTAAACTGATGGAATCAGGTTAATGATTGTTTTGTCACATTTTGAGACGAGAAAAAAGGAGTAATTAACACCATGAGTAGTCGATATGGAGGATGCTGCTTGAATGATAATTGTTTAAAAACCAAGTAGTTATATATATCCAGAATTTTATTCACTCTTTTCCCAACTTGTAGGCTCTCATGATATATGATATTCACAAATATGTTTCCTGTTTAAGATACCCATATCCCCATCAAGAGGATTTAAATTGTTTCAAGACTACATCTGTTTATAATAAAACATTTTTCAAATCTTACTTTTTAGTAATGCTTGGTAATAAAATCCATTAAATTTTCAGAGTGTGTGATAAAAGTGGGAGATAAATGGATTATTTGGAAATGGCTGGAGGAAAACATATAATAGTCATGTCTAGTTTTGATTTAGCTTTCTCTTACAGTGCAAGACCAAGGATGCTGTCAGATTAAGTACCCTGCTCTCTCTAAAATACATAAAAAGTTGCCATCCATGTAATTGTGTGACAAGCTTGAAGTTCTTGAACATCTAAATTAGATTTTTTCCTTGTTTACCTCTTGAAGTGAGTAATAACAGGCTGCTTGGGGTTTTTTCCAGATAACCTTTTTCATGCTGCTCTCTGCAGTGTGTGTGATGCTGAACTTGGCCGGGTCCATTCTGTCCTGTCAGAACGCTCAGCTGGTGAAGTCCCTGGAAGGATGTCAGCTGGTGAGTGATGGAAAACAGGGGCAAGGATTCTATTTTTCATCTATTAGGGTTTTATACACACATTCCTTTAATTTCCAAACCAGTAGGTATTTAGTAGAGCAATCTGTATGTGTTGCAACATGAGAAAAACAATTTGGGAAAAGTTTGAGTTAAAATGTTAATGTATTTAATGTTCTGCCACCTCAGAAAGTAACTTTTAGTATCATAAGGATTGACTTCTTACTGTCATGGTAAGAATGATGGTTCAGCAGAATAGGGTGGAGTACAGGCCACATCAGAGCAGTGTGGTGGTTACCATCTGATGGCAGCAGGATCAGGATTTCTTGCATCCAATACTTGTCCAGGCAGTGGATTTCACAATAGGAATTTTTGTTGTTTTGGTATGTGTATGCTAATATTTTCTTTGCCAACCTGAGTTGCTTTTCTTTTTAATTTCCAAAGTAAATTAATATTACTTTTGTTAAATAAAATACAGAACAATAGCATGATTGTAAGGTACAATTTACCTAAAGCCTTTGTGTTTTTATCTCAGGAAAAAAAAAGTACATACACATTGAATTCTAGCATATTTTCTGACTTTCACTTGTGAAGATGCCTACAGAAGTAAACTCATGACTGAAATGTTTGAGTTTAAATAATAAGCGTTCAAACTGTAGTTTCTATTTTCAGAGCATGATGAAATGCTAAGCAGCTTTCCCACAGTGTGTTGTGCTCTGTAAGGGCAAGTTAATTTCATTGTGGCTGTTTATCATATTGTAACTGTTTCAAAAACACCAAAAAAGCAACAGTTTCTTCTACCCAGACCTCTCTCTTTAGGCTTTCCTTGCTCAAAATCCTATTTCATTTGGGCTGGGGATTTACACATGAATATGCTGCATTGCCATGTTGCAGGGCTCATATATATGGAATTCTAGAGTTCTGTTCTCATAGACCACCCTCTGGGAGGGATGCACTGTAGTGAATCTCAGCACTGCTTTATGATTAAGCACAGGATTTGACTCAGAAGGTGGTGATGTATTATGCTGGGCATATTTAATTACTTTATTACCATTTTTCACTCAAAAAGGAAAAATCTCAGTTTCTTAACAGCTTGTTCCAAGTGTATATTTAATTTTAATTCCTTAGATGGCACTCTTTAGTGCTGTAGATCTGTGCAATCCTGCACTGTGACTGGTGTACATTATCAAATCTAAATCCTTTACTTGCCTCCAAGGATACAAATGTTCTCTCTGGGGATGCAGCTCAAGGAGTCAAACTCCAGCCTTTGCAGACATGTGGTTTGAAATATAGTTAACATCCCATATAACTGAACCAGTAAATTTCCAAGCACAGTATAGTAAAAAAGTCAAATTCAAAATAAATTCTGTTTTAGTTCTGGTATTTCTGTCAGACTCATTCATGGTGAGTGCATGGCATTAATAGTGATAATAGTATCTACTGTATTATGGAGTTTAAATTCAGCAGTGTTTCACATGTAGTCTTGTTATTTGAAGAGAAGGAACAAGACACAGTGGTCTTATTTTGCTTTAAACACTGGGGATTTATTGCAGATTCCATAATATGTATTTTTGTGTGAATACATGAAATGTGTTTGCCATATGTTAGCATTTTGAATGTGTAATTTGTGAAGTTGGTATTTGTGCCTTTATCCTGCAGCTTAGCAACATACAACAGTGAGGAGAAAAAAGGGCAGTAGCCTTAACACCTTGTTATGAAAAATTAATTGGAATTTTTCCCCCATAATTAGCTGCAGATCCTGTAGCCAAAACCTCAAGCTACTGCTTTAAATCACTGAGAGTCAGATGTGTACAGGGAAGTTACACACTCAAGCTGTTCAGTAATAGGAGAAACATTTCTGTATAGGAATTTCTTTTTCAAATAACAGTTCTCTAAAAATTGTTATTAAAATATATGGGTAGAGCAATTAATATATTTTAATTTATATTCTATTACTGCACAAGACAGAATAAGTTTTATTTCTTCATCTGTATTTGGTTTTATTGAGTTTACCTGTCTTGTAAGTCACTTATTCGTTTAGAAAATAAATGCTGTCGTTTAACCAAATTTGCAGGTGATTATTATTCAGAAAAGTAGTGATAGTGTCAATCTCTCTATTGAAAGATTACTTATAATTTTTGGTTGTGCAGCTGAAATTGGCCAGTGATTACAGTAACACATGAAGGAAGACTCTTCTTTCCCCAGAATTATCTTTAGCTGGATACACAAAGCAAGGAAGAGTGCAGCAGGTGCAGGTTCACAGCTCAGATCCAGAAATGAGTTTTATTTGTATTCCATTTTGCACTGGAGCTAAACTCGGGTCTGTGCATATGGAAAAAAAAATCCATGGAAAAGAATATACTCTGTTTTGTTCTTATTCATCTCTCGGTTTTTAATCTTCATATTTCCCTACAATGCAACTTTATCCTTACTGGATCCTCCTGCCTTTCCCTCTGCATAAGGTACCAGAATTACTGAAGCACAAGTATATTCCTTGCCCCTAAGTATACCAGTGGAGCTTTCTTGTACTTCACTGCCTTCATTTTGAAATTTTTCCTTCCCTTTTTTATGTTCCCCATAAAAAACTCTGAAGGTTAATTTAGAAGAACATGAAGTAAAATCTATTACTACTTTTACTAGAAGACTTATATTTGTATTAAGGAGATGGCAGAATGCAAATTAACAGTGTTAACTAATTCCTGATTTTGCCCTGTTAGGGGAAAATGTGTGTGCACTTAGCAGCCAAACAAGCAAACAAGCTACTTTTCAGCCCCATTGACAGAATTTGAGGAATTGATACAAATGAAAAAAGTAACATGAGGCCTGTGAGAGTGTGTGCATGTATTTGTAATAAATCTGGAAGGTCCTTACCTTTTTTGATTCTCTGCTATATGAAAGTCAGGTTTTAATGGGTTTTGACTTTTGAAGTAACAGTACTGCTCTTTGACAAAACAAAATGAACTTGCAAGAGTTAATTTTGGCACAGTTTAGGTCACAGAATAGCTGTATGAACTCTTGACCCTGTCTGCACAAGTGAGACCAGGGCAGGGCAGGGCATTCTGGAGCTGGGGGCTCAGGAGTGCTTTCAGCTGCTGTGTTGTGAGAACACGAATGCAGTGACAGCTACAGCCTTTTGTCCTGCTCCCCACTGCAGAAACACAACTCAGCAAGGAGGTCACTTCACCAACATGGAAGGAAAATGTGCACAACTAGGCAAATTTATAAAAATTCTTCTAAAATAATATGTTCCAATCTGGTAGTGAATCTTGTGTGGTTTTGAATATGCTGTGATTCTTAACATGGCCCTGTGTTTTGCAAGAACTGTCATGTAAACAATTAGCTTTTAACTCATTTAAAGAATTAAAATAAAAGAAGAACTACTGGGCAGTACAAAGTTATGGAACAACTTTCAGAATTAATTGAGAATGTCTCGTAAATGGGGAATCTTGACCCAGCCTTTTGAGCCTTATCTTTGTGACACGTGTTCATTACATGCAGCCCTGGGATCTCTGTTTCACATTTGAAATTCCAGATAGATGGCAGGAGTCAATGCCTGTCCTTTATTACACAGGGCCAGCAAGAATCAGAAGAGACCATCTTGCAGTAGAAAGCTTTGTCTGAAGTCCATTTTCCTCATTACAAAAACTTTTTAGCAGCTGAAGCCTATATTGATTTGTCAGGTGTAGCCTTCTGGCCCCTGGCCTTGGCACAGTTCTAAATTCAAAGTGTAAGTTCCAAACTTCCTCAGCAGCATTTCTCAATCCCTGAACAATTCCAGAGAGTTTTGGGAGCAAGACTTCCCCAGTGACATCCAGTGCTTTGATTTTACATCAGCTTGAAGAGCTGAGGTCAGCTAATCATAAACCATTTAGTTGATTTGTGCTCAGATCTTTCACCTTTTAAAAGAAAGCATTAAAAGATTACAGGAGTTGGAAAAGAACTAGTCTGAATTTTTTCAAGCTACTTTGTAGTTAAATTATATGCTAATAAGAAGTAAAACCTACAACTATCATAGAAGTGAGCAAACTATGTTTTTTCTTTATTTCTTTGCAGTGTCTATGGCATAGGGTATGACCAGTCTCTGAGTTGCCACAGACAATTATTTCCAGTATTACCTTGGAGAATATGGGAAATGGTGTAATTTACATACCCGATTTTTTCTAAAGCCTTTTACAAATTGTGCTGGCTAGAGGGCAGTCTGGAGTCCCAGGAGCTGAAGTCCCCTGAGACAGCTCCTGCCCTGAGCCTGCTTTCATCCCAGTAAGCAAGCATTCAGTCATCTGTACCTCATCTGGAGAAGTTTATCATGTTCCTTTAATTGACTCTTATTTTTGCTCTTCCATCTGCTGTCCTGGTCACCAGCATGTAAGGAGAGGGTGCTACATAAGCCTGATAGAGGTAGTACTAAAACATAGATATATTTAAACATAGAGCTTTTAAGATCATAGAAACAATTTAAGTATTCTTTGAGGTCTAAGAAGTAAGTAAATATTCTGTTGAAATGATTCTATGGATAAGGCTGTGCAAGGTAATTCCACAAGGAATGCTGGTACGTGGGGTTTTTTTCAGGAAATTGGCAACATCCCAGAGAGAATTTGAATTGAAAATAGAAAATGTGTATTACTTGCATTAGGAATTTTTTTTTGTGGATTTGTGTCTGGAAATTTTGGGAGTTTTTTAATGCAAAAGAGTAAGTAACAGGGTGATTCAGATCTCACCACACAGCCACTGTGCTTCCATCTTTACTTTGGGGAATAAAGGACTGATTTGTGATCACGACTCCTTCACGTGTTTTCTGACCTTTTTCTGTTATTTTTGGTTTTCCCACATTGGGTAGGATTTTATGTTTATTCAGTTGAGTTACTCTGGTTTCACTTGCCCCTGGAAAGCAAAGTTTTTTCAAAAAGAGGCATAAAAGGCAGCACTCTCTGACATTGAATCCTCTTTCTGTATTTTACCTGTTTTTATAGCTTATTATAACCAGTGGAAAACGTTTTGCTCCAAGGGTTCTGCACAGAGATTTTAGTTTTGCGTTTAGTAGTCTTTATTGTAACTGTAAATACCGTTTTTTGGGAACTGTGTTTCTGTTGATTTATACTTTCTCTGACCTTTTCTTTTCTCCCTAGATTAAATTCGACAGTGATGGTGTCTGTGTTTGCTGTGAAATGCAGCACCAAACATCAGGCTGCAGTAACCTGGGAGAAACACTGAAACTGAACCCTCTGCAGGAGTGCAATGCAGTGAGGCTCACCCTAAAGGTGTGTTAGGAAAGAATTAACTGTTTATTGCAGCTTTAACTCAGCAAGACAAAGTGTGTGATGGAGGGAGCAGCAGCTGCTGTTCTCTGCCTTCATCCACCTTTCTGTGCAAAAACATCTTCATCACAATACCGGCATTTGTGTGTGTAACTTTTGTTAAAGATTACTCAAGAAACAGAAGTTAAACTGGCTATGGCTGATGCTGGAAGGTGCCAGAACAGGCATCTTTCATTTTGCTGTTCCAAGGTGGAGTTTATTGATGTTGTGGTAAACTGCAAAGAAACACAAAGAACTGCAGAATGATGAGGTGTTTTGTGATGTGCTGCTAGCATGAGGGCAGTGATGTTACTTTGGGAGAGAAGAGTGAGTGTTCTTTCTGGGTAATCCTGGAAACATGCTTATAAACTGCCCTGCAACATTGTATAAGTTTAAATTTTGTAGCATTTGGTGTTAAAACTACCCAGATGAAAAATAGAGAACAAATATTAAGAATATTGTATAAGTGAGTTAGAGCTCAGTGTAATTGCTCCCATCATTGCTTCACTTCGTTATCACCAAATGGGAAGGCATTGATGCTGTGTTGTTTTGAAAAAATAATAAGGAATCAATGAAAGAACTGCTCAGGAAAAGGAACCCTAGGCTGAGAGGCAGATATTGATTCATTCTACATTTAGTTTCATGATCAGCAGAACTCTGCATCTGTGACTCTCAAAGTATTTATTTTAATCAAACTAATAGAAAAAAATGGAGTCAAGTGGAGAAATTCATTATGAGAAGGATCTTGGGAAGGCAGATTATAGGATGAGTCCTGAGAAAGCTATAAAATTTTTATTGATATTTGAAGATCTATTTTAAAATTCAGGATGGGTAGAAAACCTGTACGAGGAATGTGGCAAATAGCTAAATGTTCTTCAGCCTTGTTAAGAAAAAGCGAAAAAGCTACAGCCAAGTAATAAGGATGAGGTCAAAGTTAGAATATTTTTATGGCCCCAAAATTAGGTAAGAACTCTGCCCTAGGTTTTAAGAGGATGATAAAGGTAACAGAGCAAAAACCTACTGGGTAGCAGGAGTTAAAGAAGTGGAAAAGAAGCATAATTTGACATTGCTCGTCAAAATATAACAATCTTCAGTGAAATGCATTACAAGAAGGTAACTTCTGAGAAGGGCATTCCTCATGACAGATGCAGAAACATGAACCTGTCATTCAGGGAAAACTGACTTGCTAATTCCATAAAAATAAAGATGGAGGGAGCATATGTTTGCTTCCTGAGAATGTGTCAGTAAGGTAAACTTTAATGAGAGGGAAAACAACTGTTCATCTTTGGAGGACATTGTCAGCATATGATGTGAATAGAAGTGACATATGCTGAAAATCAAGACAAGGATTCTAACCAATACTGCAATCAGAATACAAGCACAAAATTTAATTTCTTATAAGAATATAACTCGATCATTTATAAAGGGAATTGACATATCAATTTACACTACAAGAAAATAGGTTTAAACACAGGAATTTCCACGAGTATAGTCTGAGTGCAAGTTTAATTATGTTCAGAACTTTTCATCTGAGAAAGGGTAGTTAGGAAAATAACTTTTTTCACAAAATTGTTGACATATTTTTTCAATTTTAATTCTACATTTGCTTTCTATTTGGTTTACCTCTGATTCCTGGCTGTAAATTTAAGAACAGCATTCTACTAAGCCCATAAGAAAAAAAGTTACAGCTCATTAGGTAGCAGCTGACAGTGATAAAGCTCACCCACTTTAATTACAATTAACAACTACAATGTGATTTTAAAGAAACAGATGTTTTAGTACCAAAAGCTCAATTGTATTCACTGTTTGAGGAGGTAGAGGGAGAGAAAATGTAGAGAACCAGAGTTAAGATTATACATCTGCATGTATAGCATTATGTAGGTTTCATGCTCCTCTTTTTTGCAAGTGGGGTAAAAAGCTCATATTTCCATGAAGTCATCTGTGGGGTTTGGTGGTAGTGGCTGTGGAGCTCCACTGTGAACAGAACAATTGAGAGCACAGATCACCTGTCTGATGTTGTTCCCAGGCAGGCAAACAGGACTGGGAAAACCAGCAGTGGCTCCTGGTCCTGTGTATGTTAACTGTGCCTTGTGTGATATTGAGTGGGGAGTTTATAATTGCTTTGAAAAATCTCTAAATTTGTTATTGTTTGTGCAGTGAACCATCTCTATGTGCTTTTTTTTGTAAATCAATCTTCCTTTCTTCATTTCAAGCCCTGAATAAACTACTCAAACATTTTAATGGGGACAAAGGAACTACCACTGCAGTATGTATGGTCCCACATATGCACATTTATAGATACAAGTATTGATTGCAAATGCTGACTGATCTATAAGTGCTGATTGCTGAGATTAGTTGAATAGTGGGATTTCAGCACAAAATTATATGTTACACCAAAATGGACAAAAACACTGTGCCATTTCACTGTTGTAAGGGAGTCTCAGCCCACTCAAGGTGGTGAATTGGTAGGGTTAGAATTATATTTATAAGATACCATACTTGTAGTCTTGTCTGCACACCTCAGTAAAAATAGCACAGTTGCATGATGTGAGGAACTGCCATTAAGATCTGCAGGCACCCAAATGTGATCCATCTGCCCCGTTTTACCATGGAGGGACTTCCTGGTTTCTGTATTTCACTGGAAGATGTGGGGTTTTTTATAGTTTCCTGCATTAGTACCTCTTAAACAGCCCCTGAAAATAAGGTTCCTTGCTCTCCTCTGGATACTCAGGGTCAATAATCTGTGCTTCTAAAGGATGTCAGTGTCCCAGTATCTTGATTTTTTTTTTTACCATAACCACACTTTTAGAACAGCTTTATCCTATATTAGGAAGTTACTTAGCTTAATTAAAGTCAAATGGAGGTACAAGCAAATCCTACATATTTACAAAATTAATTAAAAGAGTTTATAAGGTTTGTTAAGAATCAGGTGTCCAGAGTGAGATGATGGCCACAGATGGGATGGATTTAGGATGCAGTTTCAATAATATCAGCTTAATCTGTTTTTCCACAGGAAGTGTATTGGTTTGTGGATGAAATTTTAAAGAACTGAATTTTTCATGTAATGTTAATTAAACTACGAAGGCTGAGTTTTCCTGACATCTTTTATCTGTGAAAATGATTTGTTCTTTCTAAACTCAGACTATTCTGAACTTACTTAAGATGCCCATGCAATATTTTCACAGGTAAGTTTTAAGTTTGGTACTTAAAAGTTCGAATTATTTTGTAATGTATTATTGCTGTCTGATACTGACATACAAGAGGAGAATTTTATGCTGTTTGGGTTTATTAATGATCTAGTTGAGTATTTTTAATTACTTTTAACAGCTTACACAGTCCAGAATACCTGCAGGCATGTATATGAATTTATAGATTTGCTGTTTATGTAATTGCTTCCTACTTTACTGAAGGTGCACCTGTAGAATGCTTCTGTGACTATTAGGCAAGGAGACAAGCTGCTTCCCTCCTCTGTCTTCAGCACAAATATTTGTTTTGGAGCTGCTAAAGTTCAAGTACAATATAAATAGGAAATGGCTCTTTGAGGTTTCTGATTCCCTTCATTTGTTAGGTATCTCTGTTAGGGATTTGTGTAGCTCAGCTCTTGCAGTCTTCTGTGTGAATACTTTCTTTCCTTTCCTCCCCTTTGAATTCAAGTTTATTGTTCCTGGGTTTCTTGATGACCAAGTCTACTCATATGTTTAATTTTTTTTTCTTCAGAAGAAGATTCTTCCACTTGCAAAACAGAGGAGGATGGCTCCTAACACATTCTTTAGATTTATGAGAACAGCCTTTCCTCAGATTTACTGTAAGACCAAATGCAATCTTATTAATTTTACTGAATGGCTTACCTGAAAGGCTTCATAAGCTACTTAAAAATGGATAAAGCTCAGCACAGAATAAGTAATTCCAGATCAGATTTTTAAATGCTGGACCTATTTTACATTCCTTTACAGCCAACTGAAACTATTCCCTACATTCAGAGTGTATTTCCCACACCAAGACCATCAAAAATAGGGCAGGGCAGGTCAGGGTGGGCTTTGTAGTCTGAATGGTTGAGCTGCTTTTCCTTCCTCAGATTTTTTTCTGTTCCTAGCTTGGACAATGAGGGAATATGGTTGTAAACTTCTCTTTTGGCTGAAAAGGTGCCTCCTTGAATGACTGGAATCTGTTCATTCCATCCTTGTCCAGTTATGTTATGAAACCTTAGCATTTCAGGAGTCTCTACCATATTCCCAGTACTAAATTTAATGCAGACACCTGAGCTGGAAGGTATGCAAACTGACGTGCAACACAGAAGAACTTTTTGAGTTTATTTTTTGGTAGCAGCTGTGCACTGCTTCTTAAAAATATAGTAAAATAGTGAATTATACTGTAGTTTCAAACCTTAAAATCTGTATTTTGAAGTGTTGACCATCTCTCCATTTACAATGGAATGTGTGTCTGAGATCTGTTTGGCTCAGAATTAATTCTTGAGCCTTCCCTGTACTAGAGCAGGTGTTTTTGCCGGTGTTTTTCCAGACGTATCCAGTGAGAACAACTGAAGTTGTATTTTGAGTTAAAAGGATTGTTGTCCTTGAGTTCTTGAATAAAAGAGGTACATTGACACTAATTTCATGGGTGAAAAAGCTTTGCTGCTCATTATCTCTTTTCAGGATACAGTAGTAAAAGAAATGAAGCACTATAATTGAAGTCAATCATGGAGAAAGCAAATCATCTCTGCAGCCATGGAGCTGCTGTTAGCCATTGATCACCAGGGATGCTGAGATCCCTGTGCTCAGGGCTGCTGCTTACAGAGTGCTCTTTTTACACATCAGCAAGCTGATTTTGCTTCTCTCATAGTACATTGACTAAGTGCCAAGAACTTAAGAACCTCAAAGACTACAAATCCTTTATTTCCACAGCAAAATAGTCTATTCAGCCAGCAAAATGTGAGTGTGTTGTAAAAAGAGCTGTCAGTTCAATACTCGTGAGCGACTGGAACTCATAAAATGATGGATGTACTTTGTTTCCTTCTAGAGCAAAACTGGTTTAAATACAGTTTCTCAATTCTGTGTAAGCAGCACAGCTGATTAATTTTCTGTATAATACTTGGCAGGGTGAATATTTTGAGGTAATAGTGCTTCACCTGCATGGTCTGTACTAAACAACAAATTCTCTCCTTTGATGTTCATGCATGTAACTTAATTTACAGTACAGTTTATTGCTATGATAGGAAGGGGCAAGAGAATGACTAAATATTTACCAAAGTCTGCATTTGAGTTTTGAAGATGTCCAGACAGTCCTGTTTTAGTCTAGCTTACCTGATGGTTTTGAAAGATAACTGATACCAGAAACAAATTCAGTTATAAATTGGTTTCTAAGCTGGAGGAGCTCTATGGGTATGGCCCACCATTAGAATGAAGTGATATTATTCCAGTTTTGCTTTATATTTGCTGTGATAGGAGGTACAAATGATGTCCTGAAGGACAAAATCCCAGGAGGGTGGACACACATGCAGTGAGTGTTCAGTGGTTATAAAGGACCCAGCTCTGTCAGTGCACCCATCTCTGAGGGATGGGATTTGTGCCATTGTCATTTTTCATTTTAGATTCTATCTCATCTCTTTGCTTCTGCCAGGTAATTGCATGTGCTAACAGCTGTTCTAAATTGCTTTGTTAAATGATTGTTTCTACAGTTGAGTTATCGATGTGACAATCACCAATTTTTTATTTATTCCAGTTTGATACCATCTGACTGCTTTATCACCCAGCAATTTAATGGAAAACAAAATCAGTTTTTAGGACAAATTGCTTTTCAAGCATATTGCAGTATGAGTTTTTTACATTATATTCTCAATTAATTATATCTTAAAATTACTTTTTTGAATACAGAATGTTAAAAAATATTGCAATTAAACATTCAGATTTTAAGTAATACTCAGGTTTTGTAATACCTCTATTTTAATGTGTTCTGTAGGGTTTTGGACTAAACATTTATGGAACATGCATTTTTATACATTTATGTATTATTTTAATTGTGCTAGTAAAGGAAGAACTGAGGTGCAATAGCACAAAAACTGTGTCAAAAGAATAATAGTGAAAACAGCTTGAATTAGGAAAAAGCAAAAATAAATGTTGTGTCCTTAAGTTAGACATCTGACAAATGGTAGTATGAAGAAGATTTAAGAATGCACAGGTATCTTGTGGGAATGCTCAGGTATCCTTTGGGAGCACAGCATAAATCAAAGGTGTCTGTTATTATGGAGGGAAAGCATGATAAACAATTATGCAGGTGCTGGCACCATTAATTTGGTAATAGTTCAAGTTGTAATATAAATGGAATACTGCAACCATGAAATCTTGCTTTTTTCACTGGCAGTATTAAATTTTAGTTCCACTTTTAAGATTTAGTGAGGGACCTACTTGGGAAAATAAGTGGCCACAAAGGAACAGCTCCCAGTGCTGTCTGACTCCTGTGGGTGTGGATCTGGACTGATCTGGACGTGGCTTCAGGTGACTCTGACAGCTGATTCCACTCTGAAGGGGGTTTGTGTCCTCTGCAGTTGGTGAGCTGAGGTGTATGCAGAAAACTGTGTATGTAACCTGTAGAAGAATAATTCCGCCTAGTACATTATACTTACCAAAGCATTAATTGTCATATAAACATGCTGAAGAGTCAGATTTTTGTCTTAAAAAGACAGAGACAGCATCTAAGAGAAAATTGGTTCAACCATTTCTGAGGAACTAGAAAATTGTATTTCAGACCATTAGAGATTCACGTGCTGTGTGTTCTGATTAGTGTTCTGATTGATGTCAGCTAAAGATCTGTTACTAAAGCTCCCTGATTTTGTATTTAGTATGTATTTCCTGCTCCTTCAGACACCTATGAATGTAGCTGGCTGGGGCTGGGGCTGTGGGGAGTTACAACTGGCCCTGTTGTGGTTCCTGTGGTTTTTCACAGACATTTCCTAAAGGACATCTTAACTGTCATTGCTTGTTCCAGCTGCCATCTGTAACCACCTAGCCTGTCCTGGAAGCATGTTTGGGCATGGAGGCTTTCAGCTCCTGTTCACTTTTTTTCTCTAGCTGAATAAATGAGTGTCATGGATTACCTGATTATTTTTTCTACAGGGAACAGGGAGTGAATTTCCTGAAAATGGTAAATTGCCTGAGGCTGATTAATGTTTGGGGAGGGTGGGGGAAGTGGGGAGCAGAGGAGAGGGTTGGGTTGTGGCTTGATTCCTGTTTGAGTTGAAACAGACTTTAGGATAAAAAAGCCAAAATAAATAAAGAAGCAGTCTTGCTTTAAGAAATACCTGGTGGTGGTGAGGACTCCACAATCAGTGCTCAGTTATTACTCTGTTAAAATTGTAGACTTATAATATTTTCCATCTCTTTGCTTAACTTCACTGCCTTTTTACATTTTCTGGCTACTAGATGTCTGCTCCTTATTGATCTTTATGAAATACATAAAAACTCTGCACTCCTGCATTTGGGACCTTCTGGTTGTACTTTCACCTTCAAAGAGGTTGTAGCAAGAACAGGAATTGTTGTGTGTTTAGCCTGGAAAGGAGTGTGTAGAGAAAGGCTGCTGTTCCTGTGGGCACTAATCCCTGCCCTACATCAAAACCATAATGCTGAATAACAAACATAGCACAGCTGTCCCAGCATGCCAGGGAAAGTCTCGGGGGGGTAAGGATGAGTGTAGCCTGCAGAGCACAACAAATAATCCCCACACTGGAGCCAGTGTTTGCAAGGCCTTCAATTGTGCCTTTAAGGATCCTGCATTTAAAGGAGAACGTGGACCCAGGTGAGGTGAAACAGATTAAATTAATTAAAATCATCAGAGGCCTAGAAAGTTGATTTCAGTCGAAAATTGGAGAAAATGGTGTTAATATGTCATTCAGTAAAGGTGAAAAAGGCTTCAAGAGTGATAATAGAGTTCAAAGGTGTAAAGTCTGCTGTGTAACAGCCTGTTCTCAAGAGCTATGGAAGAAAAGAAGCCATGGATTTCATCTGTGGCATGGACATAACCAGGACACTGATGGTAAAAATCAACACTGGAGTAGTGGGATGAAGCTGTGGGATCTTTAGGAACAGATCAAAGGAACATCTGTCATGAGACTTAGAGGCACAGTTAAGTCTGTCCTGGGATGTGCAAAGTTGTATGAGGGTCTTGGAGACACTTTGCATCCTAATTTAGAAGTTTGATTTTATTAGCATAAATGGTATTAAGTTATGCACTCAGATTGGCTAAGTTTTTTGTATTTAAATAGATGTAGTAGGCAATGAATGAAGTTTCTTCCTGCTAGGAAAGTGTCCTATTTTCTACCCTAGATCTTGTCTCTACCTCAGTGTTCTTTACCTAGGTTTGCATGTGGAAAGCAGAACACACAGGATCTCAATCTCCTTTTTTTGCCACTGTTAACTAACTGGGATCACTTTGCCTGTTTACCTCCATTTGAATGCTCTGGGTGGGTGTGTATGACTTTGGGTGAGTCCCATGTGTCACCTTGTGTAAGTGAGTTGGTGATTGGCTCTTCCAGTATTTTGCTGTTAATGCTGATGGTTCATTATTCCCCTGGCTGAGGGGCTGGCCAAGAAGACAGAAAACTACTGACCACTACAGATCAGCAAGAGCAAATCTGGCTTGGTGTAAGTTATTAAATGGCTAAAACCAGTTGGCCCATTTATTGTCTGCCTGGTTTCCATGGCTGGCATTTCCATCTTCAAATGAAGGTCACTTGAGGAGCAAGCAATTACAGTGGCAGGATTAAATCACCTTTCTATCATTTATTTCAGAACTGTTGGGGAAAACAAAGTGATTTATAGCATGGAAGTCATTTCATGCACTGGCAGTGAATGAAATACTCTTTTAAACTTAGGTCCTATGGAATGTTCTTTACACAGTGAGTGTTTTTTATTCCTGGTATTGTAGCAATTTTGATTTAGCTTTTCTCTGATCTCTCTGCTGCTTTTTCTCAAATGTTTTTACTGGCTGTTCAGAGAACTAAGCCACACAACAGTCACAGCAGCCACGCAGTTGCTGTACAAGGATTGTAGTAGTTTTGAAATGTTGCCAGCACATTAAATTCTTTTCTTGTCTTTTCACTGGCTGTGGACAAAGTAAATACAAATCCAGTGATTGAAAAAGAGATGGATGCTTTATTTTAATGACACCATTGCTATAAAAATGTTCCATTTTAATTCAAGTGTTTCTTTTCTTTTATTCTACTTGTTAAACCAATACTCTGTCTTCTATTTTAGACTTCTTTTTCTTAAAAAAAAAAAAAAAGCCAACAATATGACCATAGGGACTCAATTCATCAATAGAAGGTGAAATGTCTGGGTGTGTAATCACTGCTTTTCTCTCATGTATAAAAATACTTCGGATGCATGGAGTTTCTGACACAGGATAAGTCTCTATTTCATACTAGAATTTTTTTAACACACAAGCCTAAGTTGTGGATTTCAGCTACTCAAAGCAATAATTTTTCTGCATGTCATTTTTAATCAGAAGTGTCTTTCATAGTGTCTTTCTTGTGATAGCTGCAGTTTGGAGTCATCTATGAAAGAATAATTTGTCTTTTTGGGAAACTGGGAAATTTGAATAACAGTATTTCTGAGGAAATATCTAATAGCAAATGTGTTGTGAGAAGTGGGAAAGGGAAGATGTTTGTTTCTGTAATTGCTACGTTTGTGGATTGCTACCTGAAAAAGATTACAAGCTAAATGAGTTCTACCCAGTTATTTGAGAGCATATTAATCTATGGCAGTTGACAGTGTTTGTTATCAAATTCCTCAAGCATTTCCTGTCCTTTGTGTCCCTGAGATAGGAGATGATATTCTGCTGATGTCTCTTTTCAGGACCTGTTGTTCAGTGTGTGCGCTCTCAATATCATCTCCACCATTGTCTGTGCTTTGGCAACAGCAATGTGTTGCATGCAGATGGTTTCCTCTGATCTTCTGCAAATGGTGAGTACGTTTCAGTGACAGCACAGGGTTTGTCCAGCATTACACACTGTCTTTCCCTGTGATATTCATTTGCACCTACTCTTTGCTTATAAACTTTAGCTTATTTGTTTGTCTCTGTGTAGTTAGAATGTGTGTGTATATGGGTGTATTTTTTAATCTGCATACATCTATATAAATCTAGCATATAGATGCATGCAGCATGAGGAGCTGCTGTGTTTTCATGTTGATGTGTTATAGTAGAGTGTTATGACCAGGACTTTGCAATGGGGAGTTGTTATTTTTGTTAACGAGGTTATTAATGAGGTTCAGTTACACATACACATTACATTTGCTGTCATCACTTGTATATTATCTCCAGTTTCCACACTCCCCAGAGCAATTACTTAGCTTTAAGATCCCAGTTTTCACTACTAGATTGGTATGAGAAGTACAAGCTCAAAACTGGAACTTTTCACAGCCCTGTGCCAATAACTGTGTTTTCATAAGGAAAACATATTCAGCCTCAGAGTAGCATTTGTGTTCAAAACAAGAGGGAAAAGGATCATTAGTCTTCTGTATAGTCAGCTGCATCACAGGATGCTGTCTTGTTTTGGTTGGACAAAGGCAGCTTTCCTATTCCAAATGTGTGTTGGGATTAACAAGGTTTCAATGCAAAAAAAAAAAAATTAAAAAAATTTTGTATTTTTCAGGCCAGCTACGCTGTTTGTAATCTTGCTCTATTGCTGATTAATCTTGGAAATGTCCTGTTTAATAAGGGGGGGGGCAAAACCACAAATCTGATACTATCCATTTGTACATCTTGTATTGGAAAAGTTTGCATGGATGGAAGACTGGCCCATAGCTACAAACCATTTAAACAACACAGAAATGTTGTATAGCCCGCCCATGCAGGCATGGTGGTTTTAAGAATAAAGAAATAATTAGAAATACAATGGGTGCCATGGATATTGATTTAAGTGCATGAATTACAGAGATAAGGCCGTCCTTTCTAGACAAGTGTTCCAGTCACTGGGTTTCAAACCCAGTTAAAGAATATCTTCAGTCTGGGATCTGGTGTTTGCTGCACATAGTAATGGGTATAATCACAGGAACCTAACTTATTAGGTAATTACTACAAATAGTACATAAATGCATTTTTGCTATATGGCTCTGCATATTGTAGAGGCTTGTAAACGGTGCTTATTTAATAACAGTAGTATGGATGTGAAACAACAGAAATAATAATTTCAGCTGATGAGACTGACATTTTAAATGTTACAGTGTTTTTATCATATTCTGGGTATTCTTTCTTTTCACACACTCTCTGTCTCTATATTTGCTACAAGAATGCCCATTGACTAAAGAACTTTTTCACCTTGCAGTGATGATGAGGAGATGAAGAGATTGTCACACCTTGAAAAATCTGTCTGTCTAGTGGAAAAATGGTAGCAGTGATCCAGAAGTGTATATTCCAGGAATCTTGATCTACACTTAATGGTATTTAGCAGTGTCATAGGAATAAAAACAAATAGATAACAATGAACTGAGAACAATATTAACATGCTTCTGATGGGCATATGCAAGAAGCAGTAACCTCAATAGGAAATTCCTGAAAAGCACATAATTTTCCTCTCTGCCACCTCATTCTTGATGTCTTTCTTTCCCACCTGGCAATGCTGCCATTATGTTAATTTCTTTTTGCTTCCTATGCTTTGTGTTTCCAGCTTTCTGTCTTCCTGCTTAGTTGTCCGTTCTCCCACCCTTTCAGCTCCATCGACAAGAATTTTCTTCCCTCTCCCCAGAAGAAGGGAAATATATATATAAAAGTTTTTCTGCTCAATCCTAGTCTTTTCTTGTTTATCAGTTTTTCCCTTTCTTTTTTCAGGTTGCTGAGCCAGATTCCTACCGGGCCTAAGTGAGCGTAACTTCCCTGGGGCTACGCTGACTTAGCCCAGCTGAACTCTCACCTGAGGATTTCTTTTTCTTTCACTATTTTCAGCCTATTGTCCCATGATCTGCAGTTCCCCTTTGCTCTGCTGCACCCAGAAATCTGATCAACTTCCTTTTCTCTTGCTTGTTAATGCTGGATTTTTGCTTTTTCCTTTTACTGATGTGTGCAGCTTTTCTTAGCTGGGTTGTGCCATGTTGGAAGTTTGACAGCAGCAGCAAGAGATGCCAGTCCTCACAGCTGAAAAGATTTTAATTATTGTGCTGATTGTTTTACTGTTCTGCAGTATTTAAGAGCTCTGTAGGCTCTTCTGTAGCAAGAAGAGGCAATAGGGAATAGGGAATACCCTCCTTGGATGTCATTAGGTTATCACTAGAGCAATCAGTTCTGTGATTCCTGTGCTGTGTTAGTGTTCTTGTCTCAGAAATTAATCCATTGGAACAGTAATTTTCGTAAATTCAAAGAATTCCAATTTATTGCTTAGCAACATAAAGCAGGTGTAACAGTATCAAGAAAATCTGCAGCAATGATTCTGTGATTTTTGTGCTTTGTTGATGACTTTTGCATACAGCAGTTGTCTCGGTTCATACAAGCCAGCTGATGTATTTTACTGGAAACTGCTGTCTTCTGACATCCCAGCCTTTAGGAAAAGCATCCTAAAAATACAAGCTGTCTGGTAGACAGCACAGTTTGCATTTTCTAGTGAATTTGAAGAGGGGTTTTTAGGTTTAAAAACAGTCTTACCTAACAAATATTTTATTTCAAAAGCTAAGGAAAAAATACTGCAAAATACTTCAAAGTAGTTTTATTACTTTATATTTTATTTTATATGTTTTCTGGATTGTTCCTTATTTGAGTTGATCGTTTCAAAAAGTACCCCAAAATTTTCATTTCACTTTATCCTTTCTCACTGTGTTAAGTGTATATATATTTGCTCAGGCAAAGAAACCCTATTTATCATTTGTACTAAAGCTGCAAGAGAAAGTGATGCCATAGCTAAAGATTGAAAAGACATTTGTTGTGTTTCACTAGAGAGTTTAAGGCTGCACTCCATTACAGGGCTTACCAGAATTGTTCTTTCTATGTACACATCCTTTCAGGAGATAAATGTGAATCAAATCAGTTCATATCAAGGCTCTGTAATGTGAAGAAACCTCTCTTAATAACCAAACTGTCACTTCCATGATATTTCATTTCTTGCCTGAGGCAGTTTCAGTTTGCATCTTCTCTGATGAATGGCTACTGTGAAAATGCACCTTGTTTTCTTCAGAAGGTACCTGCCTGGATTAAAGTAAGAGATACAAGATATTACACCCACTGTGGCTGAGCTAAAGCACAAATTACACCTATTCCAGTCCTCCTTCCACTCCAGATATGTTTATACAATTCTTATCCTAGAAGTGCTGGCACTGATACCATTGAGTGTGTTCTGATTTTATCACCATCACTGTTAGTAGCTGTTCATGTTGTGTGATACCTAAAACCATCTGTTATTTTGTAAAGAAAATAAGGTAATGATGACACATGCAAGCTGTAATGTTTAATTACTGTTTTCATCAGTCCTAATGATAATTCAGCATGTCATTATCGTAATAGGCTGTAGTTAATATTTCTTCTCAAACAGCTCACAGAAAGCATCTCTGTGTGAGGGTAATACCCTGCTGGCATTGTTTAACCCCCATATTCTGGTGAAATTGTAATAAAAAAAACCCTGCAGGGCAAGGCTTAAGTGAGAATTGATCTTACACTATTACATATCATTTATTATATAATCTAACTACATCAAAACCTAAATAATCCCTTTTTGGCAACAAAGTTCACTTACAGGTACTGTAAAACCCAGATGACAGTCCTTTTAGAAATATGCATTGGGAATGACATGCATCCATAGAAAGGTCCTAAATGTAAATATGATTGCATAAATACTCCCCTCACACCCACCATAAATGCAAACCTTAGGTCGGAAATCTTTTGATATTTTTAACAAATGTATCATTTTTCATCAAACATTTTATTGGTAGAAAAAGAATATTTAATATTTAAGACTAAAATATGGCCAGTACTTCAAAAAATATATCCCAGAGCAATGCCCATGAGGCTACAGGGCTAATGGTTGTGATGGTTGTAGGAGCAGCAGCTGGAAACAACTGAGCAGAAAAATATGAATATGTTTTCCTTATCAAAATATCTTCTGTCTCATAATTTCCTTTTAAGATCAGGGACAAATTAGAAGAGTCAACCATGGTCCTTCTGTTCTTGTAGACAATTAGAGTCTACATTTCCCTTCAGCAGATACTGATGCCAGTGTTTCAGAAAGGGAAAATAGCAACCTGTCCAGGAGGACAGTTAATTGAAGACAGAATTATAGACCCAAGTGTATTGTGCAGGGCTTTTACTCAGGATTAACATGCCAGTATTTAATTAGATGCAATTAGAAATTTTTATTTCCCATTCTCAAAAATCAGCGGATTTTTATAAATGAAATGAGAATAATGAACTCTGGAGTCTCCAAAGGACTGATTTCAAAGTTATACAGTACATTTAATAAATGTGATATGGAAGGCAGAGGTAATTACATGCAGATGTAGGAAAAACTCCAGATAAGTTTCCCTTAGAGCACCAGGCACATACTGATATATGGCACTTGTGGTTTAGATAAGCTGAAATTGCTGAGCAGTGACTCCCAGCAGTGGCATTTTGTGGGGTCAGTGGTGCTGAGCAGGTACAGGATATACAGACAGAGGATGTCTGCTGGTGTTCAGTGGGGAGGCCCCCCAGCTGGGAATCCTGGTGCAGAGTTGTTAGTCTCACACACCTTGGGCAGAAGGATGGACCACATGGCATCACATGAGGAACTGTTTCAATAGAGAATTATATTGACAGGTCTTACCTGCTGTTATTCAGTTCCTTAACTGAGTCTCCTCCATCTGCTTTTACCTCAGTGTACTCAAAATATTCAGAACATGAATATGTTCTGATCACTTCAGTGGCCAGCTTAAAGACAGCCTTCCAGTGAAGAGCTGGAAATTCAGTCTGACAAAAACAGAGGGGGTTTTACAGTTTTACACGTATCTGTGTAATGGTGTTTATTTCACCTGGAGAAGTTAAGCACTGAGAGAAGAGATGTGTTATTCCTCACTGGGCAGGGATAGCTGGCATGTGTGGCTGCAGCCTGTGAGCTGGCACAGGAGGTCACTGGTGTCCAGCCCTGTTGTTTGCTGTGTGGAATTCTCAGCGCTATGGCAATGGACCCTTGAGCATAACTGCATTTTCAAAAACTTTTACCTCTTCTGAAAGTGGGGTACTTCTAGCATTTGTGCTTCTAATTCTCTGCTTCCTAACAACTTGCTGCTGCTGCCATGGCAAACTTCTGTATTGAATGCAGGTCCAAGCAGTGGGTTTGCAGTGTTTTACAGCTTTGTTTATCCTGCTGCAACCAGGCAGAGAACATGTTTTACTCTTCCCTCATAACTGCAGACAAACTAAAAAAAGCAACTAGTCCTCACTATGAGGGCTTTTGAAATCAGACTGTTCAACCCTGTCCAAGCCAGACATGCCCAGTGAAAACACACCGAGTTCTGTGGTCAGTGTGTGCTCTGGGTTGCACATCCCTCTGGCACATGCACTGGTCTGTGCAATGCCCATCTGGTATCTGACACGATTCACAAGGCCAAGGATGAGGAAACACCTGTGGGAGTGTAATAGTTTGAATGCCAAGCTTCAAACATAAGGCCAGCTGTTTCCTAAAAGAAGAGCATGAATTCCAGATCTGTATTTCATTGCCTGTCAGATTTCTGAAAGCTCCCACAGCTCCAGGAGGGGGACAGAAATGGTTGAGTTTTTGGGAATTCTACGGCCATGGGATTTCTCTTTCTTTCTAGTAAATACGTTTGAAGTACCTGTTGATAGCTACAAATTTTTGCTAAGCTTTGAATGCAGTTGAGTATTTAGCATTTGCCAGAGATGCTGTATGCTGTTTATCTTTGTCTGCAACCATTTTCTATCCATTGCTTCTGCAGTGGCCATTAGTTTAATCCCAAGGCTGGCTGGGAGACCCTGTGTGTGAGTCGTTCCATAATGTGAGCTGTAGTTTTTGACATGATATTGAGTGCAACTTGATCCTGTTTATCCTGGTGACTGAGCAGGCCACTCCCATTTTCTGCTTGGCAGTTCTTGTTGTTGCCTGTCCCATTTGCCTTCAGTATCTTGACACTGACTATTTGATAACAGCTGTCTTCTAATACCAGAAATGTGCGTTTCTGTGTGAAAGTATTTGTCAGTGTTTCTTCAACTTTCTCAGTTCATTGCATTTTATTACTGTCTTTTTTTAACCTATGAAATTTGTATTAAGCCTTTGTTGAAACGCTGCCAGACTTCACTGTTTGAGACTAACTCTTGAAGATTTTAAAAATACATTTTCCTGTAGAAAGAATAAGCTTTTGCAGGCTAGCAGAGATCAGTTGATAACATAATGTGGAATAAAAGATGACTTAATTCCCACTTACTAGCTTTCAATTGTTTTCTCAAGGATGTCTGTTCTTTGTGGTAATCCCTTATATTTGCTATTGTTTCATTTCCTGCTAGTTTCCCTCTTACAGCCTTTTTCACTTTAATTTCTGTGCCTTCCAGCAGGATGATATCACACAGGTAAACTGTTCTTTATAAACCCCCCCAAACGTGTATTTTCATGTCCATTCTGCTGCTCGTTGTCAAGTGTTGGTCACAGTTCGTTGCCATGGTTTGTAGTGCTGGATCTTGAAAGGGATGCAGATAATTCTGCTGTGCAACTGAACTGCATCCAAGCATTAGGTCTTTTCCTCCTGGAACCACAGTCCCTTCTGCCCTGTGTGAAACCTCTCCCTTCTGTCGTGTCCCACGAAGTGTGTGCTGATGGTTCACCTGCTGTGAAAGTACCATGTGTTTAATTGCCCTGTTCTGACAGTGCTAAGAGTATCACTCCCAATATGAGGCTGAATGCATCCAGCTCCAGGGAACTCCAGGACTGAAGAAATGGAGCTACAGGTTCTCTGGTGCAAACCAAAGCTTGGGGTCCATGGCAGTATGGAAACAGTCTGGGAGAAGGTCAACAAGTTGTAAATTAAAATTGTTTTGTTTCCAGACTGTAAAAATGACCCAAATTATCAACTCTTTTAGGAAACTGAGGGCAGTCCTGGGTTTGGTGGTGTCAAATAGTGTACAAATGTGACCCAGCATACTCAGATATTTGTCTTCATTATGATAAATGTTTAAAGGTTTTAGATAATTGTGTTGAGGTTTGTCTTGCTTCCTTTTTTCCTAAAAGATTCATCCATGTATTTGAGATGGTAGCAGACTGATGATTGCTTGTGATTGCTTAGGGGTGAACTTTGGAGTTTAATGGTTGATATTAATGTAATGTTACACTTTGGGAAATGGCTGTTGAAAAATCAGATGAGTTTAGACCAAATGTCTGCAAGAAATGTTTGGTTTTTTTTTTTTCTGTAAGCCAAATAGAAAAATGTCTGATAGTACCTGGGATAACAGCATCCCACCTCTCCTGGAGGATGAAAGAGCATCAGACATTTCACATAGTGAAGAGTAAATCAAACTGAAGCCATGTCTTTGTTTCTGTGCTGTACCATGGGTAGAATGCAGTGGCTGACAGTCCTTGGTTGGCTGGAGGATGTAAGAAATGGCACATTCTGCAGAGGAGGTTCTTTATTAATAATTGTGTGAGGAAATATCTCTGGAGAGCTGATCAGTGAGCAGCTAATACTGCATTTTTACAAACAGTTGATATTGGTCCTCCTGACCCTCTGCTGTGCTGTATTATTACAGCTCTGACCTTTGAAACAACATACATAGAGTGAGTTTAATAGAACTAAGATGTAACTCAAGCTTTAAAACACCAAAGACCAGTATAATTTCTGTGGTAATGTAAATTCAGCAGAACTATTTCAAAAAGTGATAAATATAGAACTGTGATTTTTAAAATGAAGGTAATTTGCTTTCTATTTGCTGGATCTCCTAAGCATAAACATTTTCCCTTTTTTTTTTTTTTTACTGCTTACCAAATCTTTATTATGGATTTAAACAAACAATAATGTAATAAGCCAACAGTACAAAAACATATGTTGTCTTGTTCTAGTCTAAAAAAGAAATGTGCCTTCAGCAAAGTTTCTTAGCTGGCTTGTTTTAGAAGGCATGAGCTAAAGATCAGTTCCTCTACTGGTCCAAGAAAAGTGATGTGACAGCAGAAACTTGGCTGGAGAACAAAAAATGCAGTGGTTTTGGATTGTCTTTTAGTCCCCTTTGATCCAAACAGACCAAATAGAGCCAGGTGTGAGTCGTGGGATCTTCAGGATGATCCATATTTGATCTTGAATTAGTTCAGGCCTTTCCCAGAACACTTGTGAGTGTTCCTGGTGTCAATGGTATTGGAACGGCTTCTTTAAATCCCTGCTCTGCTGGAAGCTAATGAGGTTCCTGTCACAAATGTTGATGTGGTTCTCAATATTATTACTTTTTATTGTGCAGTACAGTTATANTCTCAATATTATTACTTTTTATTGTGCAGTACAGTTATATTCTTTCGAGTTTTGAGATGTGTATATGGGGCAAATTTTTTTCTTTCATACCAATACTTAAAACCTTTACACCACATTTAAGTGTGCAAGGTCTGTATCAGCAAAACACAAAGATCTATTAAGAATATTTCATTTTACAAGAGTAATAAAAAATAGTTATAAATGGCCCCTTCATTGGAAGTGAAAAATGGGTGGGATATTTCCAGTTGTTTTATTCAAAACATAATGTCTGTGTAGCAGCCTGTTTCTAGTTAGTATTATTTGGAGTTGTTTTGGGGATTGGCATTGGGTTTTTTTTTTCTCTGTGAACATAAGACAGTTCAGATTGGAAACAAAAACATGCAGATAGTTGTTTTAGTAGTTATTCTATTTTTCATCAGTTATTAAAATAGAACTGATTATGTGGGGCTACAATAAAACAATATACAGTGTAGAAATATTTCTTGAAAAGCCATTAAATTGTAAATGTCTGTGTCCTACATCCTAAGAGTGATTGACTTGGAGGCCCACAGCCACAGCCTCTCTGTCTCTGGTTAAACATTTTGTGCTGTATTTTGGCAATCTGACTCACCCTCCTCACTGATCACAAGTATTCTTATGCTCCCAGAAGTGTCTTTTTCATTTCAGCTTGGGTATTAATGAATTTGGTATTGGTCAGTGTCGCTAATATCGACCTTTTTTAAAAATTGTTGATATTGGTGATGATGTTTCTACCATCTGAAGGAACTTTGCCTGTTCATTTTCAGTTTCTGCCACAGAGGCCACATTCTGCCAATCCTGACTGCATGACTCCACATGGAACTGTCCTGCACCAAACCTTGGATTTTGATGAGTTCATCCCACCAATCCCCCCACCTCCCTACTACCCACCAGAATACACCTGCATGCCCGTGGGGGAGGCACAGAGGTGATTCCCCTTCCCTGTTGTTGCAGTCTGAGCTGTGGACTAGGGAGCTCTTTCAAAGAATATGAAGCCAAATAATGTCCTTCACTTACATTAAGCTCTTCTTTTCCAGAGAGATTACATACTTTTTTTGCAAACCTGTTAGACTACATCTGGAAATATTTGTGTTAAAGCACTGCTGCAGTAGAGAAATGATTGAATTTAGCAAAGACAAGGATAACAATGTCTGAGCTTTGAGCAAAGATCCCTTTGTAAGTGATCCTTTCACAGTTATTAATATTATACATTTGAAGCCGAGTATGAGATTTAATTTTTTAAGGAAATCATTATGTGTATAAATAGTAATACTAATTAAATATTAATTAAAGTAAATATTAATACAATTAACGTGTATTTATTTGAAGTAGTGAAGGACATTAATGATGGCAAAACAGGCTGGTAAAGATGACTGGCATCCTAAACAAAATACAGTTATTAAAGTCACAGTTATTAAAGGACTTCCTTTTGGATGTCTAATAAATTTCTTGGATGTAATTCTTTGCAGTGCATTGAATTCAGAGAAGTCTTTATGTCACTGTGGTGTAGGTAATAAATCCCATGCAATTTCTTAATTGTTTGCTTGTCTATGTTTTTATATAGAAATCTCCATTTGGACTTCCCTCATTCCCCATTTGGTGCTTTATATGAAGTAACCATTAATAGCCCAGGAATGCTGTATCCAAATGAGCTGCCCCCTCCTTACGAGGCAGTGATTGGAGAGATGCCTGCCAGTCAGGTGAGCATAACCAAAGAAAATTCTTTATGTGATCTTCAAATTTTCATGCTGCAAAAGAATTCTAGATAAACTTTAAAGAACAACCATTAGAAAATACTTATATTCTTTAAAAACATTTTCCAGACCATTTTCTTTATAAGGGTTTAGATAACAAATTTTACTTCCTACACAACAGCAGTGAGTAGCTCTTTATTGCTTGACCTTCTGATTGTTACAGTTTTTGGTAATCAGCTTCTGCTGTTATATGGCAAGAGTGCAGAACACCTTTACCCTGAACTAACAGAAGGGATCCAGTGTACTTGAGACAAATATTTACATTACACTTCTTGCTTTATTGTGTACAGTATTGACTGAGCTGAAACTGGAATGATAATGTGTCTGCATGTACAGCCAGAGCTGATTTATGCATTTGCTTGAAGGGATTTGTGGTAATTAATCAGCTGTCATAAAGGGAAAATACTTACAGTTGCTTTTAGAAGCTCTAATTTCTTTCAGGCTTCAGTAAAAACTCCAGGAGTCAAATGTTCTAGGTATTCTTTATCAGTTGTTAATAGCACACTGAGGAAATACCTGTGTTGAGGTTGCCAAATTGCACCCATTACAGAGGGCACTACTTTTCCTTTCCCTAAAATACAACATTGAAATATTTTCTAGTGACTTTTTTCCACATGAGGGCAAACCAGAATTGAAAGCACAAACCTAAAGAAATGATAGGAATTTTCACTATTATACACAAGAAGATTATTAAGATAATTAATAAGACAAATGCCTTAGAAAAAAAGAACGTTGAAATGCAAAACCTCAACCAAAATGCAATTAAATCTCTCCAAGATAGGCCTAACTTTGCAGCTTCTGTGACTGGCACAGCAGCTGCTGGCAGGTCTGATCCTTGCCTTGTACTGTACCCTCCACCCAACACAGCAAACAGGCCAAACATTGCTTTACTTTTGATTTGTTTGGCTGTGATAAAATGAACCTGTATAAACTGCTTGTGAATGAAGTTCCTTGATGAACAGCAAAATTGAAGTTTTCAATGCCATCTCCTTCTAGAACATTTTTTACCCATTTTTCCCCATCCTTTTTCCTTGGCAGTAACTCAGATAAACCTGCAAGCCTTGGAGAAGTCAATACTTTTCAGTGATTAAAAATGTGGACAAAAATTATATGAATCATGCATGGTCTGGGGGGAAGGAGAAGGCTCCTACCTGTGATAAGAATTCATATGTGGTACTAAGTAAGAATAACAAAGTGTCTATTTTTAGCAAAGCACAAAATAATTTTGAGCACTCTTGTAACTGGTAGCACTCTTGGTGTGAGCATGAACATTTAGCTGTACAATAGCACCAGCATGTAACCAAAATATAATTTAACAAGATGTGGCTTAAAGCTGTAAAGTCATGCTCCCCCAAGAAGAGCTTGGCTTTAGTAAACAGATGTATTCAGTATTAATTTTTGACATCTAGGGTCAGTTTCAGCACCTTGTCTGTTCACCTCTGGCCACCTGAGCTCCAGAGCTGCTTGTTCTAATCACCAGTGAAGATGAGTGGTGACTTCATTTCTAATAATGATAATTATATCGTTTCTTACCAGGAGTGAGTTTATATGAAGTTGGTAGTTGCTGTTCAGATAGCTTGTGACAGGCTCTGTGTCTCAGCACTGAAGCTCACTGGCAGGGATAACCAAAGCCTACAGTGACACTGTAGCCACAGATTTTTCTTGACAACAAAAGCCTTCATATATTTTTTGCAATTAGTGTCCCAGCTGAGCTGTAAATGGAGAGTGGAGCCAAAGTCTAAGACAGTTTTGGGTCTACAAGAAGAAAAAAATGGAGACCTGAGTTCTTACATGCTGCAAATGCTCCCATAGAGCACAGTACAGTAGGAACTGAAATAATGAGATTTATAAATCCCTCAAAGGCAGGCTTAGCAATGGAAATCATGGCAGGGATTTAGCTACAAAAGTGCTTCTGGGAACCATTATGTAATAATGTCATAATTGTAAAACCTTTTACCATGCATCAAGCAATAGGTTTTATTTGTTTTTAAATGGATTGAGGTCCTTAGAATTTTATTAAATTGTACAAAATTAGACTCGATATTTCATGCATTTTATGGGCAACAAATGTCAGTGCTAATTTAAGTGGTTGCATCCATGTAAAAATTGCTGTTGTCATCTGTACTGATTAGGAATTCCCATTTCGTGACTGTAAAAAAAGTGGTTTTCACACTGTTTTCCATGCAAAGTATTGACTGGGATGTAGAAAAGATAAGAACAAACAGATCAGGGTACTAGGTGAACTAAATCAATGACAGTGTTTTATAAGGTTTTCTAACCTGTAGGCTGTACAGACTTGTTAAAAACACAGGTTTTCTTCCTTTTTTTATTGATGGCTTAGTGACTGTCTGAGGATGTGGAATTCAATAACGTTTTGTTACCCTTGGCTATGCAGGGCCTGCATGAAACCACGTGCTGTCCCTGTGTGAACCAAGACTCTGACCTGGCTTCCAAATTGTCAGTGTTACCTCCTACAATTAAAATCCTGGTTCTCTTTCCCCCAAGCAAGAAGGTGAATCAATTCCAAATGCATATAAAATACATTCAGCAATTATTCAGAGACAATGTAGAGTGTCAATAAATGTTTCAGAACAAATTTTCTGCAGATATTTCCCATTCAGTGATTACAAAATTAAGTCAGTGGTTATGAAAGTACCTAGATTAAGAATTTATGAAAGCCTCTAGAATCCCTAGATTTTTAAAAAGAAACAAACACCCTTAAAGCATTATCCTGTTTCTTCCAAAACGTCTGTCTGAATTTTCTACAACAACAAAGAGCATTTGTGGACATTTCTTGCTTTTCTAGTTAGTTCCCAGAACTTCCACAATTAGATCCCAGGAACAATCTGTGGTTTCGAGTGACACCACATTTTACTTTTTACCACAGATGTGATACTCTGATACAGTCAAGAACGATCCATTAAGATATTTCCAAGGGAAGTGGTAAAAACATGAGCAATTTCACTTTTGCTTTCCAGTCCTCTATCCATCTCTTGCTGAGTTTAAGTATTTCTGGAACTGTTCTTTGGAGCAGTTGTTTGGAGTTTTATCTGCTAACCCTTAAAATAATTTTCAAAAACTAAATTTCCAGAAGTTTCCTGGTCACTTGATCATAGCAAGTGATAGATAGATAGATAGATAGATAGATAGATAGATAGATAGATAGATAAAAATAAAATGGTGAGCACAGGAAGTTATGTGTGCTTTACTCTACCCTGGCATGTGAAATGGAATCTCTTTCCCTAATAGCTTCAGACTCATTGTGTCACATCGAATTTTTTAGAAGGCCAGACACTGATTAAGCAGTTGACAAAAAGGTTTGCACAGAGGTGACTGATGATGATTTCCAGACTGCCACCAACCATAATAAACTCTATTAGTTAATTGTGGCCCTACAGACAGAAGTAGATACGATGCTTTCTGCTCAAGATGGTATCAGTCTAATTCCTTTCAAGCTATTTTGTATTTTTTCCTCATTTATTATTACCAGCTATTTATTGGAATCATTTTTTTGGTAATCACATTTCCAAAGAACTGCTAAAAATCGATCAATATTGGCAACAAGGTCCAATCCAAAGTCTAATCAAATCAGTAGAAAGAAAATTTCCTGAATTTCAGATATTTATGGATCCAGTCTTTCCAGCAGGAATGATTCTATATTTTGCTCACATGATTCTCAAAAGTGAAGGGGAAGTTGCCCCTTTAGAGTCACCCCTTCAGAAAAAAGGTGAGTGGTAATACAAGATCCAGCAGGCTGGAGAGCACCTGAGTGGCAACGATGTTATAGGGCTTCAAAACACATTAAGAGTTAACACCTTCACAAATAACTGAAGGAAAATACTGCTCTTGTGCTTCTTTTTGTGGTTTCTGGTTTTGTCTGTCCTATTTTAGGGTGATATGATGTGGTAAACAAAAAAAATAAGCACAATATGAGAAATGCAGACTGTAGAAAGAGAGATTGCTTTTACTAAACCCATTGGTGTTAAGCATTGCAGACACTAAGTTCAGTAGTGTGAGCCTGCAGCTCCAAGTGCCTGTGAATTCAGGATGAATTTACCTTGTAGATTCTGGAAAAATGAAAAATTGCATTAAGCATGTGCCCTTGCCCTGCATTTGTCCTGACCCAAAGATGTAAAATAATTGAAACTGCTTTCAATCTGAATAGCAGCTCCTATGAAAGTGACTCAGCATTGTCAGGTGTGTCCTTTAGGTCCTGAGCACTACACTTTGTTTGGTAAGCTGCAAGTTAATGAGCTCTTTCATTCCAAATGTTCATTTAGGTCACTGGTGCTGCTCAGCAAGCGTCTGAATCGAGCCTGGGGGAGAGGAACACAACCCCGGACTTCAGCACACAAGGTGATTGTAGCTTTGCATTTGTCTCCTTAAAGATGAGTGGGAGCAGTGAGCAGAATCTCCTCCTTTCTC